AATGGTTCAAACTTGTTGTTGACTCACCGCTTCACAGTACTTGACCTTTACAGCCGAATATTTCACCGGCAATCGAATGCCCATAGAGTAGCATATTAACGATTAATGTCTCAGTTATTATTATTACCTGGGTAACGCAAGGAGACTTCTGGCGTGAGTCATTGCCGAAGTAGTTACCGGGAGGGAGAGAGTTTAAATAAGCATCCAGCGAGGAGTGAGCCACCTGGCTGGATGTGTGTTGGTTGCGTAGATTTTGACCTCGGCCTTCAGTCAAACGCCGCAACCTTGCGTGACGGGACCGTTGGTGGTTAGGGACCACCGCCGGGGGGGGGGCACCCCCACTGTCAGCCGATGATGTTGCCTTGCTGGAGGAGGGGCTTGACGAACGGTGCTTTCCTGTGACCGATGCTTGTTCCGCCATTTTGGCCTCCAATTCAAGGATACAAGCATCCTTGGCAGCCTCCACATCCTTAGCTTGAGCCAGTTCTTCCGCCGCAGTCTCTAATTCCGTGCAAAGGTTGTTGACATCCGCTTTCATGTTCTCCAATAGTGCTGCCATATTTGCCGCGCTTCCTACTGTAGCCCGTCATCCATATCCTTGGCAGCTGGCATCGACAGGTCAATCGTGATGGTGCCCTCGAATTCCGGAGAAGCCTGCTCTGCCGCGAGGAGCTTCTCAATCCACTCATTATCATCCTTCTCCACTTGCTGGTCCAAATCGACGTCACGCTCATACTCCGAGATTGCACGATGTTGGCTTTGGTCCCAGGTCATAGCGTTGGTAACCGTTCGATTATAGTGGTCCAAGCAGAGCCAGGTGCGGCATGTCTTCCTCTGGTGCTTCAGGTCCTGCCATAACTCAAGGTGAGAAATAAGGAAGGCCGCCAGGTTCTTGAGAACTTCCTGTGCCAATGAGGCAAACTTTTGGCGCACCACAAACACATAGAAGCCATCGATTGGGCCTGGTAGGATCATTTGGTGGAAGAGACCGGCTGGGCCCTGGTTCAGTTCCGCATCCATTGCCGCCAGCCATGTACTGCGATCAAATGCCTCAGTGACCAGGGGCTGCTCAGATGCAGAAAGTTTCGCCCGAGCGGAAGACTCCGTAGGAGGGTTGGTTGCTGACTGGGGTGTAGACTTCAGTGCAGGAGTAGGCCGTGGAAGAGGTGTGGGGGGAGTAGCCTGAGGCGTCTCCGTAGGTTTCTCAAGAGGTTGCTTGGCCCGGAAATTCTTAGACCCCTTGCGACTGGAACGCTTAGTGGATGGGGCGGGTAGAGTTGGCTGAGCTGTGGTGGGGGCAGTTACACTTGAGTTGGTCGGTGTCGGTTCTGGAGGAGTAGAAGACACGGAAGGTGGCAATGGAGAGTCTGGAGTGTCGGCATCCTGTGTGGCTGATTGTTCAGGCTGAGCAGGTGGAGGTTTCTTGACCGCTGGTATGCACTGAATCGCGTAGAGGAATTGGAGGAGGGATTTGCCCTTGCCCTGTTTGCAGTACTTGGGAATGAAGACCTTGGTCAGCATGCCTTGGATAGGAAACAGTGGAGCCAGGGAGGTGCAGGTCTGGGAGGTAGTGTCATGGGTGTTGATGAGATTCCCAATGATGCCATTCCACTGCCCCCCCTGGTTGCACGAGGTCACCAAGGTGTCCCTTCATAATCGCCCCCCAGTCGTAGACAAACAGAGTCCGGGCACTAAACGGCATGTGACACTTCCTTGTCTCTGGCCTGAGCCATGCAAAGAGGGCCCGTGCCTTTCTATCCACGTCAGAAGCAGCTACCCAAATGTGCCACGCTTTTGGACCCGCCGTACTGGGGGTCTGTGGCCACGCAGGTTCTAGGGCTATAGCTCTCTTGAAGGAGGTGAAGTGACGCATGAGCTCGCGTTCCAGTGCCGCTCTCCCAATCCCCATGGGGTAGTTCAGTAGCCAACCAATTCGGACAGGATCACTAACTTGCAGCGGGGAACGGAAGACGCCTGCATGCATGCTGGTGATCTCGAAACATTGACCCAGGAGTTGGGACATGTCGTCCAGAGAAGAGTTGTGGGCGACGCGAATGCGGGTGCAAAGAGTCTTGGATCCAGGGTTCATAGCGTTGTAGCCAAATTGGGCGCCACTATTCCAGGACCAGTCAATGTAGGGCTTGAGCTTCTTTTAGGTGAGCTCCTCCACTTTCTCCTTAGAGGTCAGCCACAACTTCGTGTCCCGAACACGGAGTTCGCTCACTGGGAGGATGACCAAGTCGCCCTCAGCGTTGTCCATAGCCATAGACAGAACCGAGACCATTTCTTCAGTGTAACACTTTTCAATAGAACCACCCTCAGATGTGCCGGCATCCCATTCATAGTTGATTGTAGCGCAGAGGAACTGAGCGTTTGAGCGAGGAAGCCCAGTCAATTTCATATGTGTCACTTTGCGGGCTTTCATTTCTTCAGAGAGGTACTTGGTCCGAATAGCAGCCTTCTTCTGTGAGGCGGCAACATAAGTGAGTTGCTGCTTCACGGACAGAGGAGCTGAAGGTCGAGAAGGGTTGGGAGGCTCAGTCTTTGACAAGTGGGAGTCAACAAGGACCGTTGCAGAGGGATCGTTGGCCCGCTAAGTGAATTGCCGACAACCACTTCGACACAAGGCGGAAGCCGACTCAACGGACTCTGACCCATCATGGTCAGACCAATAAGAAAACTTGCCGTTGACTGGTTTATTGGTGAAATGATTACCGATGGACCTGTTGTGTCCCCCATCACTGCATCCTCCTTATCAGGGGAAACAGAGTCGCGAACTAGTTTTGGGGTGGCCTCCGGAAAAAAACCCGCGTGCAGGAGAGCGAGGGTCAATAGGAGCCGGTTTCCTTGCAGTCGATGGGTCCCGATCGCGCTCACGATTTCTGCCCTTGGCGGCTGAGCGACGCTCAGATAATTCCGTTACCACCGTCGTCGTTTCGGGGTCGGTCCAGGGGTGCCCTAGAAGTTCAACCACAATGGCCCATTCTTTGGCCAGAGGGCGGAATTCCGATAGTAAACGGGGCTCAACCTCCAAGGTAAAATCCCAATACCGATTAAAAATCTTAGTGTTCTCCAACTGTTCGTCCAAAGGAAAAATCACAAAAGGATCCTGGACCGCCAGACCGAGAATTAATCCTCGTACATATACCACTAGCTCACGATCGTTCCCAATAAATTTGTCCTTGATGTCTCGGTCAAGCGCAGCTCAAATGCGTTGCTCGACCAAGTTCCAGTCCCCATCACAAATCTGTAGTAGCTTGTCGGCAGCTTCCTCCCAGGATTCAGTCGCCGGAGGGTCTACAAAATTTTCAGAATACCCTTCGTTCTCCCATGCCGAGAACAGCTCATTTCCAATGACCACTTCTTTTTTATTGTTGCGTTGACCACAAACATGGTGGATTGTGCATAAATAGGCCAGGGTTTGCAGGTTCCACTGAGACAAATAGATGTTCTCGACAATGCAATCGTACTTCAGTGGATACTCGACCTCCTCCATCTTGGTGTCGCTATTGTTGTTGACAATTGGAGGGTCCAAATTGTCGGATTCCTTTTTTGATCGAATTTGCTTGGCTTTTTTGCAAAAAACTGATGCGACCCTGAGTAGGAGCAGTAGAATTAACAGGTTTAGCAGCGATTGCCACTTTCTTGTTGTTCTTTGACTTTCCCATTGTCAGTTTTGAGGCAAAAAGGAGGAGCGAGTTTTGTTTTGCTACAGAAAATTTGTGTAGGCAAAGTACCAAACGTGATGTTTGAGGACCCGGATATGTGTGTTGTTTTTGTATTTTTGTTTTTTCGGAATATGGTTAAAGGTCTAGTATACAAATTGCAAACGATGGCCATTGCCATACTCTTGTTGATAACAACTCTGTTGTGATGATCGCAAGTTGCCCGGAATCTGTCTTGAAAAAGAAAAGCAATTCTGTTGCTTATCATTATGTTCGTTCGAAATGTGCAAGTGATCTTATTAGAGTTGCTTGGGAAGTGTTGGGATATGACGAAACATGAGTTTTTACGCTCCAAAAAGAAACTATTCAAGTATGAAGTTTTCGACACGTACGATCGGACTTTGATCATGATGTCGGGATTTGATGCAAGTATGCCAGACGCAAGTCTGTCGGACAATCTACATCCACACAAAAAGGGAATGACCCTATACAAGTGAGATATCGATGTTGTGTACAATGCAGTAGGGAATAATACAAGATGTCCCAAAGTACTGCATCCAACACAGAATTGTAGTAGAGGTCGAATCAAGTTCTGTAAACAAGGGATTTTCCAAGGGAAAATTGTTGAACTTACTTTTGTGATTGAATCATCAATTCAAGCCAAACATTAATCAAATAGGAACAATTTCACTTGAAGTATACCTAGACACAGGAGAACTACTGTGGTGAAAGTGTTGTACAGTCGATTAGAATTTAGATTGCGGAGAGTTTGTTCTGAGCGCTAAAGGCACTCACGATAGAGCACATTTGGCTTTATTCTAACATTCAATCACAAAAGGCAACAAAACAAATTTACGTCAAGAACAGCACTGCCTTATCTACAAAGGAGTGAGTGATTTGTTGACAATGGGACGTTCTTCATCCGGTGGTGGAAGAGGACGTGTGACTCCTCAAAAAGTCAAGAGCAACTCGAGTTCAACAGTTGTGAGACATCTATTTTCAACAAAAGATGAAAACGATGGAAAGGCAAGATCGTCGTATGAAGATGCCGAGGAAAGAATGATTGACTACATCCAAGCTTCTTGAATGAATTGTTCAGAAGACATGGTGAAATCAATTCCAGATGGAAAGTCGATCGACTTCAATGCAATTGCTCCAAGATTGAACGCTCCAACTCAAACTGAAGCTGTTGCAAGAGAAACAGAGATGGCCCAAAACAAGATTCTCTATTCTGCAAAGCTGGACGAGAACATGCAAAGATCAGCCTACTTTGAGACAAACAAGAGAACCGTCAAATCAAACATCATGTTGAAGTTTGTGACGAAGGCAATGGATATCAAGCTTTGAGGTGAAGCATTTCACCACTACTCTTGAAGATCCGATCGAACTCTTGAAACGTATTGAACGATTCATGAAGAAGAGTGCTGATGCTGAGTATGATTTCTTGGATTTCTGGGAAGCAAATCAAAAGTTCTTTGCTATGAAGCAAGGAACAACGGAAAACTTGATGCATTTCAAGGAACGATTCTTGAGACAGGCTGAAGTCCTGCATGATCTATATGGCGTGGCCTGGTTCCAAGATTTTGCAGTCATTGCTAGCACCGATACTGCTGCTCAAAACAAGTTCAAGGATGACATCTTTGAAGCCGTTCTTGCAACAGGATTTCTATGCAACAGCGATCAAACGAGAACAGCTCCTCTGATGCTGGATCTTCAGACGAACTATTGCAGAGATGTGGATTATTATCCAAAGATGGTCAGCAAAGCACAAGATATGTTGAAAATTCACATGGAAATGAGTAAAAATCCGGGAGTGAACCTCTACCAAGGAAAAGACCAACCTAATAAAGGTAAAGGCAAAGGGAAAGGGAAAGGGAAACCGAGGGATGGAAAGAAGGCAGCATGTTATGTATGTGGCAACAACGACCATAGTAACACCCATATTGTCTAGCACATCATACGTGAGAGGAATGAACGCCCGATCACACTTGATTATCTTGACTTGAAAACCTGCCTTGTTGTAGCGGCGGAATATCTTATCCAATGCTTCAAATACAGGGTCAGTCTTCAGGTTCTGCACGGGAATACACGAGCGATAACGCACAGTGGTATCAATGCAGGTGAGAAACTTAGCATTCTTGATCTCCATGTGATCAATACAGACGGTAATAGATCGATTGTGCTGATATAATTCCTCTGGTGGACTGAAGAAGTCGTCGTACATCTTCTTTGGAGTTGGTCTTGTTGACTTGCCTTTCAATGTAGAGGCGTCAGGTCCAAAGATTGCTTCGGCATGATTGATCGCTTCTTCAGTGATAGGACAGTTCTTGATGAGACCAGATCGGATCGCATACTTCAGACTTTTGGTGCTTGGAGCATTGAGTATGTCTCCAAAATGCCCAGATAGACTGCTACCAAAGACCCAATGGAAGAATCAGGATTAATATGTTGACTATGGGAAGAAGCTCAATCTTAATCAGATTGGAGCAACTGTCCCAGCTACTGTTCCAGCTATAGTTCCTGGAGCTTCAGCGTCCACAAATGGAGCATCAAGTGTTGCGGGAAGCGTTAACACACCTTTGCGACTTGCTGGTACTACAGGTAATCAGATGATGCAAGTTCCTTCTGGAATGCAGCTCATGCAGATTCCAACTCAAGGTGGCGGCACTGTTACTGTCCCGTATTCTATGAATGCTAACGGTGAGATTGCGTTCAGTGGAATGCAACTCAGCCGACAAGGCTTCAGTGGTGCTCAAGTGCGCCAAGGATTTGATGCAACTCAAGCTCGAACTCCGCAAGCTGTGAAAACTGGCTATTTTGATACGTCAAATGTCTTTCACGATGCTATCAAGGGAAAGGATGAGTATGGCAATGATGTCTATCCTATTCCATGTCCTGCTGGTACGACAAATGTCGAACTTCAATCGGACTGGCACTACGCTAGTGAAAATGAAGATTTGCCTGATCTTGCTACTGAAGCAGATCGAGGTCTGCAGTTTATTCAAAGCCACAGAAAGGAAAGAGATCCATTTGGGTTGTACAATCATGTCATCATGGACAGTGGTTGTATTGCACTTCTCGCTTCCATCGCAGCCTTGACTTGTCTTGGAGTTAATCCTTCCTTGTTCTTTCGAACGGTTGCCATCTTGGAGGTCATCTCGAGTCCAGCATATCCATTCTGTTTGTTTGAAGAAAGTTCGAAATGGGGTTGATTATTTAGGTTGCTTAACTGGCAATGGTACATAACACTTGTCTCTTTGGCTCCTGGTTTGGGCTTTGCTCCAAGTTGCTCCAACACATACACACCCTTACGATTAACAAATCGCATCTTTCTGTTTCCATCACAATGTACAATAAAAGCATTGTCAGCATCAGTATCCATAGTAATTGACCCGACTGCAGCTGGAGACCACGAGCCTACCGCTGAGCAAAACAATAGGGCGTTGAAAAAAAGAGTCAGAGTAGCTCTTGCACAATTACCCTACAAAGTGGTTCCAAAAGTGATCACTGAATGTCTTGGACGTCGAGCCGCCGAGCTATTGAATGTCTTTCCCCAGAAAGACAGTATCTCATCACATTTCAGTCCGCAGCAACTCATTGATAATGTCAATATCAACTACAAGAGTGACATGGTTGCTGAACTTGGACAATATGTTCATGCAATTGGGACGGATTCCAACAATTCGATGGAACCCCGAAGTATCGAAGCAATTTACATTGAACCTACAAAGGGACAACGTACTGGGCACCAAGTGCTCAACCTCAATACTAAGAAGATGATTTCCCGACCCAAGGTTGTTGTACTACCCGTTACCGATCAAGTAATCCAGCGTGTTGAAGCTTGGGCTGCTGCCGAAGGTGTTACTTCCATGAAGTTCTTTGATAAGAAGAGAGATTTGGAGACATTTCAAGATGGCAATCAAATTGCAGGAGTGGATGACACGGAACAAGGTTACTTAGAAGAAGCCTTTGATCAGGACTATGAACCTGAAGATGAAGATGAACGTGATTTCAATCTACGTGGACAATTCAATGATATCAATGACTCCGAAAGAGAAGAGCTCTTGGCAGATGCAGACAATGATGTCGATGATATGCCGGAACTCACTGTCAGATTCCAAGGGGATGATGACTATGAGTCAGACGACGATTCGGGTGATGAAGGCGATGAAGAGGAAGAACCTATTGTGGCCAATTTGGATCACCATCAAGAAGATGTCGATAGAGGGACCGATGATATTGGGAGCCTTGTTACTGATCTGGAGGACCTACAAGAGCCGCCAGAAGAAGAGATTGTATTTGAGCCTGAAGAGCCTCAAGTAGCAAAAGTCACTTGATCTGAGCATACGTATGCGCAAGCTGCAATGTCTGGGCTGAACCTTTCTCAAGTTCCAAAGAAACCAAGAGAATGGCCTTCAAGCAGGAGTGGCAGTTCTGCCAATAAGAACAAGAATTGAGTTGCGACAAGACGCAAGCATCGAGAAAGAGAGTTGAAACCGTTGAAGAACAAGTTATAATCTGGTATTTGTACCAACGAAGGAAGTCGCAGTACTAAAGACAGTAAAGCTATCCTTGAAGCACAGCACAATCTATGTTTTCCAACAGATTGGGAATGAGATGAAAGCTGAATATGAAGAGCACGATGCTATTCTGATCGCTCGTTGCATGATGCAGATCAAAGCCAAGTTTGATACTGATGAAGGTCTGAGCTTCATTCAACATTATTACATCAACCAAGGACTGAAGAAGTTCGGTGACGATGGAAAGGATGCTGTGCATAAGGAATTGAGACAAATGCTTCTGAGAGATTGTTTCACTCCTGAATTTGTTAAAGACATGTCCGCGTCTGAGCGAAAGAAGGCCCAATCAGCGATGATGTTACTTGCGGAGAAGCAATTCGAAAAGACAATTAAAGGTCGCCTAGTATTCCAAGGCAATGGAACTTGTGAATGGTTATTGTGTGAGGACACTGCTAGTCCCACTGCCTCGCAGGAAGCAATCACCACTACTTGTGTTATTGATGCACACGAAGGTAGAGATTCAAACTTATATGCCTGATGCTAAGGAAGGAGAAGATCGCGTCTACATGAAAATCACTGGCATGATGGTCCAGATATTGATTGACATGGCCCCAGAGTATCGCGAATACGTTGTATTAGAGAACGGAAAGCGAGTAGTCTATGTGCGGGTACTGCGTGCTATATATGGGATGTTGCAATCGAACATCCTATTCTATAATCAATTTTGAAGTGATTTGGAGGCAAAGGGATTTGTTTTCAATCCGTATGACCCGTGTGTTGCTAACAAAGTTGTTACTGAAAAACAGCAAACTATCAGTTGACGATCTTATGTCAAGTCACATGGATCCGAAAGTAAATGACGAATTTGCTGAGTGGTTGAACATGAGATATGGTTTGATCCAGCCATGTAAGATCGTCAGAGGAAAGATACACAGATATCTTGGAATGACTCTGGATTTCTCGGTGAAAGGAAAACTCAAGATCCGCATAGACGACTATGTCAAGAACATGTTGGAAGATTTTCCTGTCAAGCTCAACAAGGATTCAAAGCAGGAAACACCAGCTGGTAACGATTTACTGGAAGCCGGGAAAGGAAAGTTACTCAATGCTGAGTACCGTCAAATCTTTCATACTACTGTTGCAAGGGGACTTTATGTCTCTAAGAGAGCTTGTTTGGATATCCATCCAACGATTACTATTCTTGCCTTGAGAGTTTGAGAACCTACAGAGTCCGATTGGAAGAAGTGTGTTCACATGATGCAATATTTGTATTGTGCATCATTGTATCACCTGACACTTTCTGCAGAATCACTACAAGTCATGAAATGGATGATCGACGCATCATTTGCGGTGCATCCAGATTTCAAGAGCCATACTGGCGGCACTCTGTCCTTTGGAGGAGGTGCAGCTCAAGTGATGTCAATGAAGCAAAAGCTAAACAGCAGAAGCAGTGTGGAAGCGGAACTGATTGCTGTTGACAATGTTGTCACAATGATACTATGGACAAAGTTGTTCATGGAGTGGCAAGGGTATCCGATCGAGAAGAATATCTTGTATCAGGATAATAAAAGCGCACAAGAGCGCAGGCAAAAGAAGCCGAGCTATCAATATTCGTTATTTCTTTATCACAGATCAAGTTGAGAAAGGGAATAGGGTGACAATATGATTGCGGATTTCATGACTAAGCAATTGCAAGGTGAGAAGTTTCGCAAGTTCAGGTATCTGATTCTTGGTCCACAGGACTAGGTCAGACAAGTATGTATATGTTCAAAAAATGAAAATACAAAACAAAAATAAACAGTGAATGAGAGCATGTCCCATTGCTGCCAATGGTGATTGTCGCAATGGCAGGATTGTGTTGGGATATGACGAAATATGAGTTTTTACGTTCTGAAAAGAAACTATTCAAGTACGAAGTTTTCGACACGTACGATCGGACTTTGATTGTGATGTCTGGATTTGACGCAAGTTTGCCGGACGCAAGTCTGTCGGACAATCTACATCCACACAAAAAGGGAATGACCCTATACAAGTGAGATATTGATGTTGTGTACAATGCAGTAGGGAATAATACAAGATGTCCCAAAGTACTGCATCCAACACAGAATTGTCCTAGAGGTCGAATCAAGTTCTGTAAACAAGGGATTTTCCAAGGGAAAATTGTTGAACTTACTTTTGTGATTGAATCATCAATTCAAGCCAAACATTAATCAAATAGGAACAATTTCACTTGAAGTATACCTAGACACAGGAGAACTATTGTCGTGAAAGTGTTGTACAGTCGATATTGAATTTAGATTGCAGAGAGTTTGTTCTGAGCGCTAAAGGCACTCACGATAGAGCACATTTTGCTTTATTCTAACAGTTCCTTCCAGGATGACTGTTCAGAACCGATTTGACAACCAAACGGTTTGGAAACACAAGGAGACTACTGATAAAAATTATGCAGCAAGGACTGATGGGCATATACAAGTAAATTTACCAAGGAGCTAATGTGTGAATCAACATGTCGCACTAACTAAGACGGCTCAAGACGGTTTCCAGACAAGTTTCCGGGATGATGGTCAAGAACCCATCCAACAGTCAAACGGTTTGGCAATACGGGGAGATCACTGATACAAATTTTGCAGCAAGGACCGAGCCAAAACAAATCTTGCCAATTTGTTAACCCTTTTGCGTATTGCTGTTGCGTATTGCTGTTGCGTATTGCGTATTGCGTATTGCGTATTGCGTATTGCGTATTGCGTATTGAGTATTGTGTATTGCATATTGCGTATTGCATATTGCGTATTGCGTATTGCGTATTGCGTATTGCGTATTGCTTATTGCGTATTGCGTATTGCGTATTGCGTATTGCGTATTGCGTATTGCGTATTGCGTATTGCGTATTGCGTATTGCGTATTGCTATTGCTATTGCTATTGCTATTGCTATTACTAGAGTAAAGCATCAACAAGTAGGCTTCACATAGGAAAACCTTAGCAAAGTCTGTACCGGTAGAGTCTATGTTGATCCTATTCCTCTGTATATAACGAAATCAAACAATTAGCTATGCAGTTAAATAAAAATTGATTGTGCTTGTCTTTCTGACAGAACCATTTGATATTTCCCTAAATAGAAAAGTAGATAGGGTTTAGCACCACCAGCACTGATTTTTATTGAAGCAATGCACACACATCCAAACAAACCCAATCCCCAACCTTGCTTTCTATTATATCCATGTCCAAGTAAGCTTATACCTTCACACCTTGTAGATCTTTCAGTTTCTATCTAAATGACAACTTTGACACGTTGTTTTTATAAAAAGCTCAAATGGTTACGAACCAACGGTCTTTGTTCGACACCCAAGATGAAGTGGGTTGCTACATAGTTTCCAAGAGAGGCGATGACGGGAAAACTGTTGAGGGAACTCCAAAGTCATGACTTTGTTCCAAGTGCAGCAAAATTAACATCCAGTCACCAGCGCCTTAGTGGTCATGAAATGTGGCAAGAATCTCACTGCTTGTTCCGCCTGTTTCTCAAAATGCACGGCAATAGACTTCCAGTCAATCAACGTCCCGTGCCCTGCTTATTCCCAAGCCTTCAAGGCCTGGAACTGCACCTCCCACGTCCAGATCAAGAACTGCACTATGAAACTATGGTCAAGTTCCAACAGCAGAAGACTACAATCTACCTGAACGCGATCAAAAAGAAGCAGCCCAGTACAATGCCATTGTGCTACACCTGACTAAAAGGCAAAGATTGGACTTCGCTCACTTTAACAACATACACAAGGACATAGACGGTGTTATGGTTTCTACAGCTATGTTTGGAGAGAACGCAGGGTGCAATGCATGGGACAGAGACAGCCTCCATACTATGGATACTGTAAGTACTCTTTATCATACTTCGCTTCAGATTACTGGGATGACAGATGGAGACACAGATAGCACCAATCAACCTCATCTCTTCAAGAGTTGTCCAGAGAAGAAAAACAAGTGACAATAGAAGATTGCCGACGTATCCAAACAAATCAAGAGTTTGACAAATGGCTCAACAAGAATTGACGACGCTGGAGGAAACAACTCAAGGTATAGCCAAGGGGCCAAAGCCCAGCAATCAAATTCAGAGCAAAGCAACAATTCACCAGTAGGAAAAGGCAAAATAACAATTTGCCAGCAAGTGCTTGCTATCAAATGTTGTCCTCCTCAACAAAATTTCATAGAATCAATCCGTCAAGCTACAAAATCATGGTAAAAAACAGAAGAGATGCATGGCATACACCTCACAAAAGAAATGTGGAGTCATCCTATGCTACGAAAAGCCTCATTGATGTATTTGATACTGCCAGAGCTGTAATTGATGTCCAAATGAGGCCTCAACTGACTCAATCATGATGCAATCAACCTCTGATTGTTGAACAATTCCCGTTTGCTTCCCCTTTTCACCTGGCATGTCCACTGAGGGTCTCAAATCCAAAGAAGGATAAGTTGAAAGCTGAATCCAATAATGTTTCTAGAAAGGAGCTGGCAATTATATCCCACAGGTATCCAGAGACCTCACAACTAGTTATAATACATATCTCACGTATCGTAAGGTGACAGAGCGGTATGTCTTTGCTCTGCTAAGCACTTTTTTGTTTGATTTCATAAATATTTGCATTAGCTTTAAAAACAAGGCTAGTCTAAACAAATGCGCTACTAGTGATTTGACAACATGGTGATGGCAATGTTGGTGTTGGCCTTGATGGCTTATTCCATACCTTAACAAATCAATCACATGAAGTACTAAATTGTCGAAACCATTTTCATTCTGGACCTATACTCCTTTGAGGCCACCAACTACTCATCCAAATGCTTTGACCATGGCCCAATTGCTCCAACTAGTACATTACTTGATTGAAACATTAATTCTAGTGGCCCTGTACTGCCAAAAACAAGCATCAGTTGAAAATTTACAAACCTGTCCATCAATTGCAGTTCCACCCATCAGATATGCTTCAACCATGACTCAATCGCTCCCACTAGTGCATCAATGAGGTGGACCAATGAGTCTAGTGGCCCTGTACTACAGAAACAGATGGTAAACATGATGATCAATAGTAATGGAACACAAGCATCCGTTGAAAATTTACAAACCTGTCCATCAATTGCAGTTTCACCCATCAGATATGCCTCAACCATGACCAAATTGTTCCCACTAGTGAATCAATGAATTGAGACAATGATTGCAGTGGCCCTGTACTGCAGAAGCAGATGGTAACAAATAGAGAATGACAAGCATCTTCTGATGCATCAGTTGAATATTTACGAAACTGCCCATCAATCCAATTGTTTCCTCTACTTTGGTTGATTGTAGAATGACGAATGCCAGTGTTGAATGCCATTTAGTATCAGCTATATCAGAAATGAGTCAATGTCAACAGAGCATCATTCAACCTTTGGACTTTAGTTGGATGCAAGGCGTTGACTGGTGAGTGGGGATATTGAACTGAAATGAGTCCGCAAAAAGAAACACTTCTGCCAACCAACGGGTATTCCAGTTCCATGAACAGAGCAATCTTTCCACTGTTCTTGTATCGTTGGACTTGACAATGTTCCCATTCTTTCTTGTCAAGTCCTTGTGCAGAGTTTGTGCCTTTCAGTTCTGTTTTGGAGCTTGAAGAAACCTATGGCTTAGAGGCCACTCTATAGGGACAGTGCAGAGAAGTTTGGGCTGCTTGGATTTCGGACAACAATGATCATCATGAAATAATTGACAAAAGATTAGGTGTGCAATTGGATGGCTTGTTGACTACTGTAATAGTGCTGTGCCGGGCTATATACGTAACAGTGCATGCGGATCAACCAAAATTTGGTTTTTGGGGTGGGTTATGGCACACCTTTGGTTGGTGAGAAGCCTTGGAGCTATAAAAAAAAGTATATATATCATGAATACCATATACATTTTGTGCGCACATTGGGAGATTTCTGACAAGTGCCTTTTAGGCACTTTTAATGAAAATAACAAGCCGGCCAGTCAAATGGCCAAAACCCATTTGAAGTGCCTTTTTGGCACTTCGAAGGGTGCATATTTTCAAAAAATATTGGTCCTCGTATGTAGAATGTACAGTGGTTCGAAGTGCCAAAATGGCACTTTTTGCAAAAAGGGTTAACAAAGATTCATACTGGTAAAGAACGTGCTCGTCTGGTGGAATTTATTATGTATGAAGAAGACAAAATTCCAAGAGTGGTACAATCT